AATAGCCCATTTTTTACAACTTCCTACCAATATGACCAAGTTGCGAAAAACAAGATCAAACAACTTATATTCAACAAAAGGAGACAACAAACATCTTGGTCTTCGACCTTCGAGTAAATTTCTATTCTAAAAATATGAAACTTATATAAAATGCCGGTGCTAATAATGGCAGCTTCAAAGGAGTCGATGAGCTAATTGAAGAACAAAGAAAATAGTAATAATAACAAAAAATAGTAAGAATAGATTAGAGTATAAATAGCATTATCAATAAAAAAAAGCAAAAGTATGGGATATTTATTGATAAATAGGCACTTATGGGAGCAAAATATCAACAGCAATACGATTAATGATATTAATGGCAATAATGATAACGAATGAAAAACATAGGGTCAGACTGCCCGAAAAAGCTCAATTAACCTCAAAATTGAGAAGAATTAGGCCCAAAAGTGGTCTCGATATTGACCATTGGTCGCGGCAGTCCTCGTACATAACGCTACTCAGCAAAGTAACCAGCATTCTTCGCAGCAGCTGCATACCAAAATGGGTCAAAGCGACAGCAAGCACGCCAGCCAAGCAACCAGCCATTCCAGAAAGAGCTGCCTTATTGCCAACAGGTCCTGCAGCATGCGAAGAGTGAGAGGATATTGCCGAAGGAGACGAAGATGGAGCGACAGTGGAGGAAGGGGAAGAAGGAGCTGGAGGAACTGCAGAGCCAGGCATCTTCAGATATGCAAGTAGATTCTGCTCGGCTAATTCAGTACGAGCCGCCCATACCATAAGTCCAGCAACACCTAACGGTAATGATGAAGTGGTATTAGGACCGTTAGAGAGATGTGAACAGTTAGCCAGACCAACGGAGCTGACAGAAATCAATCGTGGAGCAGAGCGATTCGGCCCATGGGAGATAGAAGAATGGTCACGGCTAGAATGTGGCAATATAGCAGAGAGACCAGATTCAGAAACCAAGGGAGAGGTAGACGATGAACCGAGACCGCCTCCAGCCTTTTTGCGTTGTTCTTCTAACAGCCGAAAAAGTTGTGTAACAAGGTGGTCGAGGCAGATGCACGAGCTGCTTGAAATTGTGCTATCTGTGGAAAGCAGTCATTTGTTGTACATGCGAGAGTTTAAGTTAGCATATATGGAGTAAAATGTGTAATAGGAATGTCTTATAAATAGATAAAAACACCATTTTTACTTTAGGACTCCTGAATATAAAATGTCATTTTAAGGGAATCCCTAGGCTGCCGTAAAAACAAAAAGCTAATTTCGAATGACAGAAAGCTTATATTGCTAGATGGTTTAACAATCCCACCTATTGGGCCATAGACAAAGATGGGAAAACATGAATGAAAAAAGTCCGAAATAAAAAGCCGACTTACTCATGGAAATGTATATAATGAGACTACGGTAGTTTTTCAAAAGAAACTATCAGAAAATTAGTTAAGATCAGAGTACAAAGTACGAATTCACCAAAGATAAAGCTGATGAAAGAAGAATGCAAATTTTCGGATTGATCAGAGGCCGGATAAAAGAAGTAGATGAGTGAAATTAATTCATGAACCGAAAGTAGATCCGATGGCATCTGTTTACTTATATAATTAAATAAACTAGCGTACTAGCGCGTATCTATTTGAGGTAGCCAACCAAATCATGAAGTGCCTCAAATGATCGCAAGGAAACGTGTATAAAAAGTGATTATGAATGAAGCCTGCTACCCTTTCTTTTGGTTCACAGCACAGACGAAAGCTTAGCACAGGTCTATCGGTATTATGGTAAGCTGAGTGCGTTATCGTATAATCCAACAGTCTTTACTCCGTAAATATCATCCCTCACTTTCTGATGAGACCATATCACGATTTCCGTCCAACTAAATTTTCATTTTGAATGGAAAGTCTTGCTACAATAAATCACTAAGGATTTCTTCGAAACCCAGTTTTTATTATATCTTATGAACAGCTTGCTAAATGTGAGTTGACATTTTCAAAAAAATGATATCCCTACAAAAACGCTTTTCGAAACAAGATAAAATGTTATCCTTAACACTTAGCTAGATGAGTAGAGTAAGGCCTGCAGTGTGATAGATAAGACAAGTCCTATATTTGCTAGTATAGAAAAGCAAGGCAGAATCAGTTAATGAATATATTTCATCAATATTATAAAAATTCGATGTTTGAATAAGAGTGCTAAATGGATCAATGTAGTCTCAAACAAGTAAATAGGTTTGAGTGAATCATCGATATCTAAGTTTTAGTATATATTTCCAACTGCATTAGTATTGCTAATTCACAAGACCTAAATTACGCTTTAAATCTCATAATAAAAACAACTTCAAAT